CCAGATAATTCAGTTCTGACTAATCAGAACATAGTTATCAGAGGGAACACACTGAACGCATAATCCTGTCATTCGAGAGAGTGATGGAAGGAAACTTAAGGAAGCTTGCTGTAATACCTGTACATTTCCATAGCCCCAGAAGTCTCTTTTGAATACAGCTGATCGCTTTTGCATTCCAGAGTTTAAAGTGAGTGTCAGAAGTGACGGCATAAAGTCTCATTTGTAAATGACTGTGTCCGTCATTTCAAACACGTATTTATCATGGAAGTGCCCAGGGGACCAAGTGCTGTACAAACACAGAATAAGGGTATGTCCACACTGCTATGGCAAGTGTGATTGCAGCTCAGGTAGGCATAGCCTTGGAGTTAAAACCAGCAGCAGACGCAGTGGCATGGGCTTCAGTTTGGGCTAGCAAGCCGAATATGGAGCCAGAGGGACCAGGCAGGCTTGTAGAGCCCATGATGTGCTAGGTCAGAGGTGGGCAAACTATGGCCCGCGGGCCACATCTGGCCTGCTGAACTGTCCTTCCCGGCAGGCCCTTGAGCTCCCGGCTGAGTAGGCTAGCCCTCTCCTGCTGTCCCCCCTCCCCTGCAGACTCAGCTCACCGTGCCGCCAGCGCTCTGGGTGGTGTGGCTGGCTCCGGGCACAGCTGCCAGTCCTACTGCTTTGAACGGCATGGTACGGGGGCGAGGAGTGGGGGGGGGGTTGGCTAAGGGGCAGGGAGTCCTGGGGGCAGTAAGGGGATGGGGAGCAGGGGGCGGTTGGATGGGGCAGAGGTTGTGAGGGGGAAGCGGTCGGGGATGAGGCACGGGGTGGGGGTCGGATAGGCATGGGAGTCCCAGGGGGCCTGTCAGGGGGCGGGGGTGTGGATAGGGGTTGGGACATTCAGGGGACAGGGGGGTTGGATAGGGGGTGGTGTCCTGGGAGGGGGTGGTCAGGGTTGGGGGTTCCCGGTAGGGGGCAGTCAGGGGACAAGTAGCGGGGGGGTTGGATGGGTGGGAGAGTTCTCAGGGGGGCAGTCAGGGGACAAGTAGCGGG